CAGTTTGGTGTTGAATAGCTTCTGCTTTCTTGACCAGTTTAGTGAATTATGCGACATTCACTCTTTCTCTACTTTTAGAATTTCCACACTCAATTTTTGAGAGGATCAGATTAAATTTGAAAAATTCCAAAAAAATACAAATAAAACATTTATGACAGGTGCTAGTGTAAACGATCCGGCGAATTCTATTCCGTTGCCTGAAAGTTATCCGGTTAATTTCAAATTTTATCATATCAGAACTGATGGGATGAGTAATCCACGATGCGTTTTTTGGGATGCTTTCAAGAAGTGAGATTGATGTTATTCTTAATTATGATTATTAATGATTTTACTTCTTATGTAACACATTTTTGTATAACATTTGTGCTTTTCTCTCAGTTTATTTACAACAAAACTAGTTAGGATAGAATTTACCTTAAAAATAATCATCTGAAATGAAATTATACAACATTTCAGAACTTGGAGCAAAGAAGGTTGCAAAACATTGCGCACAATGAATAGTTCAACTGAATGCTCTTGCACACACTTGACTAGGTTGTTTCTTTTTTTTAATTTGGTGCAAATCAGAAAAGTAATTAGCTCACCAACTTCATACCTTGTCAGATTTTTTATCTTGCCCCCGAGCGGCGAGATCTTTTTAAAGAGTGTCGTTTTACCTTTGTTAGTGTGTTGTCAATCGAGGGTCTGATCCTTTAATCGAAATTCCAATTCAATAATTAAACTGAGTCACTTTAGTTTTGCCATCTTGATGGACATAGCTGGTTTGTACGGTCATGATGAAGGATCAGTCGTTAATCGAGTTTTAAATCTGACTACCACTGTCGGTTGTATATTTTCAATTGCATGTCTCGTCCTTACTTCACTCGTTTTCACGTGCTTCAGGTTAGAATTTCTTCGAATTTAAGAGGGATGATTGCACGGTAATTGCGAAGTTTTACGATGAGATATAAGATAGGCTATGACATCGTAACGGACATGAGCACTTTTGCATACAATCGAAATGCACATTGAATTACGATGAAAGTTACTTTTTAAAGTTACTTTCTTCGCCTGACAAAGTCGTACCATGAAGTATTCTTATAAGAGTGCAGCAAATCATAAAATAAAAGTGAAATTAAAGGTTAAATACATAGAAATTGAGCTTAAATTCCAAGTAAGAATTCGAATTGAATCTTTTGCTTTAGATCTTTATGGAGTGTCCGTCATATGATCCATAGTAATTTATGTCTTTGTTTACTGTTAGCCGAATTGGTTTTTGTAATTGGCATAGATAGGACTGAAAATAAAACGATATGTCGCGCAGTTGCTGTGATGCTTCATTATCTCTTTCTTGCGGCATTTTGTTGGATGTTACTAGAAGGGTATCAGCTTTATCTGATGCTTGTACAGGTAATCATTACTTTTCATTATTTTAATACATATGTATTTTATGCATATTTTATACATTACGTTTTTAGCGTAATCTTCAAACGATTTTATCTGTAACGTTAGAGTTAGAGGAAGAGAAGATTGACAGCTAAACTGAGATAAAAGAATGTTCTGCATATAAGCAATATTCTATCATGATTTTTGCGTCTGTAATTTCTGAGGTTTTCGAAAACGAAGAAGGAAAAACTATGCTCTACTGTTTTTATGCCTATGGCTTCCCAGCTGTTATTGTTGCTGTTACTGTCGGTGTGGCCTGGTCAAATTACGGTACCTATAAATAGTAAGTTAAATATGTTTGATTCCTGATGTAGAAAATTTCTCAAAAACTATTTTCATTTTTCTAGCATTCAATCTAAAAGTATTATTTTTTTTGTAATTGAAAAATTAATTGAAAATTTGTAATTTGTAGTTGAAAATGTAATTGAAAAAATGTAATTGAAAATTTTTGTAATTTTTTGTAATTTTTTTTGTAATTTTGTAATTCTGAAAGTTTGAAGAATTTGTCTGGTTTCCTATTGCAGTTGTTGGTTGAATGTAGAAACGCCGACAATATGGGCTTTTGCTGGGCCTGTTGCAGTTGTCATCGTGGTTTGTTTCTTTATATAAGGTAGATTAGTAATATTCGGCTTAATTCTGATAATCAACATCCTTAATTTATATTAAAAGCTATTTTCGAAATTAGAACGCGGAAAGGTGCCATGAAGATCAGAATATATCAGAAATTTGCTAAGATTCCCGAAATTTTGGCAAGCAGACAGGGGAACAAATTAGAAAATCATTCCAATATATCTACTTCAATTTCATTTAAGTTTCATTTCCACTTAAATTTGAAACGTGACTGAAGAATTTGCAGTCCAATATAGTGTTTCTTGGCGTTGCACTGCGAGTGGTGCTTTCGGTGCCTAATTGTCATCGAAGTCATGTGGAACAGATGTTAGGCTGGCTGAAAGGTTCCGCATCACTTCTATGTTTATTGGGTACCACATGGATATTCGGTTATCTTATGGTCATCCAAGGAGCCCAGACTATTTTCGCATATATTTTTACCGTGCTCAACTGCTTTCAGGTTCGTTTTTCCTTATTATTCGCAAATGTTCTCCTTTCAGTAACTAAAAGTGAATCTGATTTTCTTATTTTAGCATCATACATCTCCTACGCCATATGAATGCATACCATTAGAGTTATAATCTCCACAGTTTTCTTCTTTAATAGTTTGATTCTATCGAATTCATATTTCTCATTAACAAGTACAAATTACTTTAAATACTCTTTCACGTTAGTTTACATCAATGTTTTTGACAATCCTCCTTCTCCTCCGACAACATTGAAACTTTTTACTGTCTCGAGATGCAAAGTGATATAATATGAATATCTTATTAGGAGATAAATGCATACCTTTGCATTTCCCAAACAGTATTATCCTTCATCAGAATAGATAATACGCGGCAATAAGTTATTCGAGAAAGCTATGCGAATCACATATCACTTTAAATTGAATAAATGAGTCATCCTAACTAAAAGTCATCTTTAGGGCGTGTTCATCTTTGTCATTCACGTTGTTCTAAATGAAAAGGTGCGTTTGACGTTACTGCGTTTCTTACGAGTGAATATTTGTTGCATGTCAGATACCAGCAATGCAGCAAGTGTTGTAGTCAGCAGTCGTCAAAAGCTTTTTGCTCTAATGAAGAATAGTGATTTATCTCGTGTATCTTCACAACCACCCATACAAAGCGCAAATTTGAGGAGCATGAAAAAGAAAAAGAATGGATTGTTTGTGGAGAAAATATCATCACGAATGGACGGTAAGATCTAGTTGTTTTTGAATTTGTGATAATACTCTCGTCTTTTTTATGAAGATATAGTTTGTTTTCTAAACTGGTTTCGTGTATTTTTACATTTTTATGTCGTTATAATACTCTGTGATTGTTCCCAATATTCTTCATATCCGAATGATTTTCGCAATGAGGAAATACAAGAAAAATTTTTAATAGTGAGGATCTGAATGGATGGTTGAAAGATGTGACTTGTTCAAGATTGGAAACGATTGAGTCATTGGAAGATCTTTGGATGATACAAACATTTACAGCATCATGCCTATATAAGATATCTAGGCAATTTATTAATCATAAACGATAGATTAAGGAGACACAGCAGTGATAACAGTTCGTTATCATTTCTATTATAAAAAGTGGATGCAGTAGTAGAGAGTGTTATGTACAGTAAAACAGTTACTGTCTCATCATTATAACTGCTAATTTAGCATCAATTAATAAAGACTTTAATTTGAAATTTTTAGGCAAGGGAAGTCCGACTACGATGATAACTTATTTAGACTGGAAAAGAAAAGTAAGCAATGATTCTGCTAGTATTCCATCCGATGATTCCGAAAATTATGACTGCGAGAAGAAAGAAACTCTACCAGTACCTGCTAACATTACAACGATTATCGATCCATCTGGGGAAAATCCTGATATTGATAGCAAAAAAAACTCTTCTTCATACGTCGGAAAATCAGTTGCAGTAGTAGAGATAGATTCAGATCGAAACAGAAAAGGTCTTCCGAACGATCAATGATCATTGAACGATTTTGAAAAATAAATTCCTGCTACAGATCTAAGATATTATTCTTCATAGTTATTCTCACTGGAATAACATCCTTGGCCAAGATAAGGTAGCATTATCCGCGTTGCTTTCCTCAGTATCTCATAAAGATACTTAACTGATGAGTTTACCTTGTATTTTTTCTTTTTTGATTTTTCCTCTGACACTTGATGCTTTCATTGGAATTCTCCATGAGGAAGAATGTTCCTTGTGATAAATGATAACACTGATTTGTATTATTATTAATGACGTCCTCGGGTTATCGATTCTCCAAAATTTTTATCCAAATTTTTGCAAGTTGTGTTTGTTATTTTGACAATTTCTCGATGTGTTCATATTTGAGTTTCTTGCTTGTTTGAAGAGATTTAAAGTGCAAATTATTTGAATTCCATTTAGGACTTGTGAATATCGCCCTCATGAAAGTTCCCATACAAGCAGTAAGGTACAAAACTGAATTTTAGGAGTTTCTCTGAAGTTGAAAGAAATCCTAAGAAGTTACAATTTAACTAATCAATGGATCAAAAAGACATGGACATTTTGGATGGCTTCGGTTTAAGCTTATCCTTATTTTCCGTATTTGAGAAATGCTTGAAAGAGGTACGAGCATGGAGTGCAATAAACCTGCATCAGATTGTAGGTTACCCGTTTAGGCCTATGGTAAGGTTTAGGCCTATATGTTGTATTCGAAGAGACCAGGATATATTTCTTGGAGATTTTTCGACTAAAATGAGATACTTTTAACTACAAATAATGTAGACAATGATTGTATTAGAAAAAATAATTTGACAACTACATGTAAACCTCTCTTGATAAGTTGCACGATGTGTTCATTGGAAGTTCAACCTGGCCAGGAGAGGAGTACTCAGCGGCTGAGTAATTTCGAATAAGATATGTTTATGCTCGTTGGGTTAAGGATATGAGAAAGCATTTGTTAGATGTCATTTAAGAGGGAAAGAGCTTGAGAAATGCATTTGAGAGCTTCTTCAAAATTCAAATTCCTTTACACTCTGCGCAGAAATAAGGATCAGCAAATAATCGACTTTCTTTTTTCTCAGCATTTCTCGTGTTCGTGATTATAATCGTTAGTGTCACGTTGATTGATAGGATTCCATGATTAGCGTCAACAAACCGGTTATTCGGATTTACAATATTAGCGTTCGGCAGTAGCAGTCAGGATGTTAGTGATTTGACAAGTGTAATTTAGGATTCAAGCCCTTTAGCCTGAAATATTTCCAGCAGATACTGTCTCTGACCAAATCGTTATTTCATTTATCAACTGTCGCTATTGTTTAGGAAGTAATTTCTAAATTAATCTACAATTGCTGGCTGAATACTAGTAGTACTTTCTGATTATGTCTATTGAATGCGACAATCCAAACATTCTTTTTTTTAATTGAGTTAGACTTGAAGGTTATGGATATAAGTGTTGTAAATCAAGTAAAATTGAATAAGAGGACTTTTGTATTATATTATTTCTTAACACTCAGATAGGTAGGTAGTACTAAATAGTTATCGTGTTCCCTTATTCATTGTGAACTCATTGATTACGTATGTACCACTTTGTGAAGGTTACTGTATTCATTCAACACCCAAGCTGTTTAAAACTTAATTTACTACTTTATAAGATTATTGACTTTCTATTTCTGCTGTTTGCGCTATCTCATGATACTTTTTGGTCGTGGTACCGAAAACCTTCCCCTATTTCTTAGCTATTTTCAAAATGGAATGTGGAAAGAGAGTAATGAAAATGCATGACAAACAGCAATTTGTTGGGATCCATTCAACTGTATACATACCCATCCCTCAATACACTATCCTGTACGTTGGGGATACCAAAGTCACGGCAATTATTTTCTCATCAAGTGGTTTTAATTGCAGTTGCAGTTCATCTATCACTCACAGTTGCTACATAGTTTTCCACCTGTTGTGTGCGAATTCTAGTTGAAATTATATTACTGTGGAGTGTAAGAGTTGATTATTACAGCTCTAAGACTGGATTATGCTGTAGGATAATTATTATCGATTGATTTTATTTGGAGAAATTCATTATCGACTCATTTCATTCACGAAAATTACTTTATAATACAGATATCATTGCAAGGATCGTATTTTGCTAACACAAATAGGAAATAATATGGTGATAAATAGTAAGTATTGGGCTTTTTCACGTCTTTAGGACAAGTTAATCACTTTGCTTGTTTCTAACATCCAATGATGGCCAATTCATTAATCGTTAATAATGTGTCATGTACATCGGTCTGGCTAGTTTAAAACAAAGACGCCATCAACCATCATCTGCATATGTCATGTTACCATAGTTACAATGATTACTTCTGTTATGGATTTTAACAGCTCTATATAGTTTCTATGTGATGGACTTCTTAAGAAGTCCATTATATAGGATAAGGTTTAAATAGTTAATTAATATGAGCAAAGGTTGATTTCTGTCCATTTGAGTGAGGGGAATTGGAATGAGATCAAGAATTCGATTTGATATGGCAACTTGACTTTTATAGGCCGTAGAAACAATGTATCATTTGAGTTGGCAGGATTACAGCGGGCATGACAAAAAACCAGTGATGTTGGACTTCTTCTTACTTGATGGGATGACAGCCAGTCTATTTCTCCACTACAAAACACTCGGACTTATTTTGTCATTTTACTGTGTTTGGATGAATGATGGACAGTAGCAAGTAATTAACTATATTAATAGTTATTTTGTACCCAACAAATTATCTGATATTGTTTCGAAGTTTGGACAAAAAATAAAGATAGCAAGAGGGGAAGCTAAAAAGAGGCTAACAATCACCTATTTTATCATTCAGCCCATAAATATCTCCATCCTATCTTCAAGCTTTAATTTGCTGCAATCTGCACCATACTTTGCGGTTTTATGAGATTCAAGCATCTGACAAAACATGCTTTATCTGCTATAATTTTGCAACAATTGAACTTTTTTTTATAACTCGTTGATTTGGGGAACTGGATCAAAGAAGTAAATGAATCACTGAAGAGCTGAAAAGTAGTACCTCCTCCATATGAAAGCATTCCGTCATTAGCATTTCATTTCAGTTCTGATTATAACTTTTTGCTTTACTCATTGCATAAAATGATGAAGACTGTAATATAAATCGCTGTCAAAGCTTTTATCATTTATATCTGATAATGTTCTTCATTTTTTCAATAATTCTCTAAGAGTTAACAAATGATAAGCGAGCACAACTTCATGTATAACCACATGAACTTTCCCAAATAATGATTTGCTGGGCTTATTAATTTCTCAATATTTGAATTTGCAACTGTTAGGAAAAGTATAGTAAAAATCCATGGGTTTGATTTTCATTAGGTTTGGTTTCACGACGTTTCTTTAAACATTATTTTTTATTGACCAACCAGATCCGGTGAATGATGAACGCACGACATTCCATTCCCTGTGACCCTTTCAAAGCTTTCCACAGAATCACACCCCTTTCGCAACATTTACTGTTCTAAGATCATCAGCGAATTGCTTCCTCAAGCGCTCAATCTTAAAGTTCTCTTGATTAGTAAAAGGAATACTTGTTGAAGTTGTGATGCGAGTAGGTCAATGATTGGTAGAAAACATTTTTACTCTTGTGTTTCATTCATCTTAAAGTGTCACCAATTCTTTGATGCAGCCCGCAATTGGAAAATAATTGGCAGTCATTTGTGGACTACTTTTTAGAGGATAGGAAGGACCTAATTAGTTAATTTAGGTAGTTTTCAATAGATCACTCTAGAAAAGCCATTGATTTACCACATTTTTTGTAAGGCTGAAAAATGGTGAAATGACAGAACTTTCTCAAACTTCAGTGCGGATGCCTATACCAACAAAAATCAATCAGGTAACACTTCTTTTCAGTTCTCATGTTGTTTATTCTACTGTGAAAACGAAGTCTGAACTGTAAATAGCGTTAAATCGAATAGATTTCTTAGTTGTTTAACCGGAAAGTTCGAAATTTTTATTGTATATAAAAATATGAGGGAGAGATAAATGAAATGGTCAAGAATTAAGCTGAAAAAGTGTTACTCTTCTATTCTACAATCTCTAAATAGCAGCCAACTGTTCACCAGATACAGACAATTCAGCACTCTTCCAATAACCCATCCAAGCGCCTGTTCACTTAATCAATCACTTATTGGTAGAATTAGCATCCATATCCATCGATGGCTTTGCTGACGTCTTGATGAAATAATTCAGTTCGTTTACTATCTCTTGCTCTAACAAGTGACGTTGTCTTCTATTGAAGTTTAATCTGTTTCAAGAGTAGTTCCTAATCAACAATTTCATCAAAATTGAACGCTTTAGATTTTTATTTATTCAGTTTGATTATTGAGTGTGGATCAAAAATTCGATCCATGCAAGTATTTGTTCGCATTTATCCGATAAACCCTGCAGTTTATTTCTTAAATTAATTGAAATTCTTGAAAAACCATGAAATGTTTTATTCTTTAGCATTGACCTTTGTGGGTTTGAAGCTTGTGTGGAAAAGTTTAAGGTTAAAGGTTGAAGAGAAGGAATAAATGGAAGATACGGATGAGATGAAAAGAGGGTGGGAAAGATAAGTACTTGATTGAATGCACTTCAGCTGATCATAATAAGTTGCATTATATGCTACGTTGTTTTGGTACAATTGAGACAACCAAATGACCTTTTCCTTCCTGTTGGCGACTGTTTTCTGGGTTTTTCAGGATGAGGAAATAGGCAACTAAGGCAGCGTTTTATTTTTGGGGGATTTGCCGGCAAATAAATGTATATGTCACATCAGACCTGAATTTTGAGTTGGGCTTTATATTAGGTTTGAAAAAAATTTGACCTTTAATTAGAAGTGGTGTTAAGAATTAACTTAAGTTTAAACTTAAGTTTAGTGTTGTACTTCTGCTTGAAATAAACCAGGATTGCGACTTAGGCTTATAATCGACATTTGTTTGTCCATGTTGGACATTTTTCTCCTCTCTTCGTTTGATTTAATCATATCCATAAAGAAATTTAAGACAAAGGACTGTTTCGGGAATCCATATCTGTATTAGAAGATTGGAAATCGAAATAGATTGTAAGAATTTCTGCGAATTGCTTTCGAAATTTACTCTTTTTGGCCTTTCTGAATTCCTGAGATTTATCTGCACATTTAGGGATTACACAAGTTTTTATTTCTTTATTTGTAAAAATAATTTAACTCAACAGCTATTTACTAATTGCTTCTCATTAGCTATTCATTTGCAGTTCTTAAATTTACCTTAATTGTCTTGCAAATCTATTACAAAAGATCTTTGAAACCTTAACGTGATCTGTCATCCTTCCATCTTGCCCATTAGGTCTTTGCTAAGATCATAAAATAAAACTTCAGTTTATTCAGTTTACTGACCTAAATTTCAACTGCCATTTCTTAAAATTAATGCATTATTTGCATTAATAGATACAATAATCGAAAGAAACCAGTTTTATAAATGAAGCACAAATAGATAAAAATGGTTAAACAGTCTCTGAGAGGTTACGAAAGCTCTGCATAGAAACCTAGAAGTGGTATGAATAGTGCGTTTTAGGAACAGTTCAGCAAATTCCATTATACTGCTGTTGCCACTCTACGAATTCCAAATATCCCAGTTAGAATTAATTCCTCGTCAAATTACTTCATCCTAAATTACTTCGTCAAATTACTCCGTCAGATTATTTTTCCAGGATCTTAAGTGCACTATCACTTCTTTAATCGCCAAATTTAAATAATCATGGATATCTACCATGTTTGGGAGACAAAGTAGTTATTGTTCACAATTTACTTGTTCAATTTACATCACCTTGTTTGATTACAACAACATGTCATTTGTCCATTGCTCTCAGTAATGTAAATAAAGCAAAATTCTTTCACTCTTAGTGCAAATAAACAACTAGAAGCTTAATCAAGTGAAATTAAGCCTAGTCATTTTACACGGAATGAAATCAAACTTAGTCAGATAATATGTATTACTAATAAAGGCTTAACTACCACTCTAAGCTTCAATGGTGACAGCAATAACATCACTATCTTAGAAGAAACAAATTTCATATTCAACTTTTCAAATTTCTCTATATATTTGAGGGCTAATCTTTTGATCTGAATACTTTCAAGGAATTTCATCTCGCAGCTGCAGTAGTAATTTTACATATTTATTATGATGCACAAGATGCATGTATCCCTTTACAGGAAAGATGAAAGGGAAACACTAGTGCTGTTTCATTAACGCTAACTGCTGCTATTATACTTTGAAAAAGTTTCCAAGATGAATTTTTTGATGATAACCTTAAAAGGACAATCAATTAATTTTTTCCGATTTTCAAAAGAACGAGAAAATTCAATAATCTTATTTTTAGTCTTAAATTTGAATTCACAACAAATAAAACAGTGTAATTGTCTTACTTCTGGTCTTTATAGAAAGTATAGTAATATCCTTACGGCTAGTGACAATTTATTCATATCGGAGCCTAAGAGAGCTCGCCAAAAAAAACTTTTTCCCTCAAGAAGGTCATTAAATTAGTAATTTCGGGAAAAGCTTACCATATTAGCGAAAGCAATTATTGAAGGCGAAGGGATATCTTAGACCTCTTTATTGTTAAAGTCAAACATTTTTGCAATTGTCCACCTACTTTTTTTCGTGTTTTAAATGATATTATTCAATAATATTGTGGAATTTACAAGATAAGTTATTGTAAAATGTCCCAAAGTTATTTCAATAATTGTTTGTATAAGTAATAGAATAAACTGAAAAATTTTTTAACAAAATGCAGTGCATTGTACAGTTTATGTTTTATCTTTTGGGCCAGCAAATTCCAAAGGAAGTTTCAAAATTTTATTGTGATTAGAAAAATTAAGGACAAAAAATACTTCAACTTTTTTGACCGAAGAAAAGCGGAAAATAAAATTTACTGAATGATAAAATGGATGATGCAGGAAAGACACCTCCAGAAGTAAATTTCACCGTTCTATTCATCAAAAACATATCCAATTCCGCCCACTAAAAACATTAATGCAAATAAATGGTTCTAGATTCCTTCAGACGCGAGCCAAAGGTGACAATTCATTGTTCATTTACATCGTCTATTATTTTTACTCATTTCAAAAGAAAAAAAGTACGAAAATCGATTTTCCTGTTTTGAAGAAAACTCGATCATTACTGGTTTCCACTTTTCTAGCCTTTTTTCATTGCAGTTTTTTTATTAAGTATATTGAGATGAGAAAGCTCACAGAAAGGAAAGTTAATAGTTAGAAATTGAATTTAAACGTTTGTGACATTTGATGTGTTTTGTTGGCTAATAGCCAATTTGATGTTTACAATTCGAAAAACGTCATCTAATTTATGATTTCTCATGCTTTGAGAAATTTTTTGCGAATCAGTAAAGATAGGAAATTAATTTCTGCTCGGAATGGTCCATTTTATGCAATATTTTCAAATCTCCACATATTCAACTCTCTAATGCATTTGCACTCAAAATGTACTCCTCCAGTGGATGAATGTGAGATAAAAGGTTGAGAACTGAGATACTAATTGACTCTTTCGTTTATTGAAATAACAAAAATCTTATCCAGCTAATTCTTTTGCTGGACTTTTTTTTTATTTTTTTTTTTTTTTGATCTAAGGTTATAACAGAATAGTAAAAACGTAGCTAAAAAGCCAGAAGACAATCGTTTTTCCATGTTTCTGGATAGGATAAGCAATAACTAAGCATATATGAAATTTCCTACGGTGTATTGTAATTAAATTTAGCACGTTTTAAGGTTTCGTTTAATTTCGCTGTTAATTTGAGAAACTTACTTTGGAGATACTAATTATAAAATAAATTTATAACTTATTTCTCCTGTGCTGAATGAATATTTACTGAATGAAATATTGCTGAATGAATATTTACTATCCAATTAGAGTCCATTTCTTCAGTCGAAACTTTTTGAAATTTAAAGAACAACTGATCTTTCCTTGCAGATAAACCATTAACTTACTAATTTTAAACACATATTTTCTTGGCCGTAAGCATTTCATCCGTGTCGTTTTTGTTCATTCACGATTATTCACTTTTGAAATTCTTTTGAAACTAATTACAATACTTTGGTTGTTTTCTATTGTGGTGAGACGTAAGATATAAAAATTCAAACAAATGTAATTGAAGTGGAAAAAAAGTTTAGTTTTTTTTTTATAATATGAATATAGCAAATTTTTAAACGTCAACTCACAACTGACCATTTAAACAAAAGTGCCTTTTATTGTGATTTTGAGTTTTAATTTCATAATTTTTTCTGGAATAAGGCCTAATGTATTTGTGAGCTTCTTACTTAATCTGCTAATTGAGCAACTTTTTTTCAAGCCAAATTAAATGAAATATCTCTTCCACGAAATGTAAAACACCACTTTGGATGGACTTGTGCCGATGACAGAAGTGACCAGTCTTCTTCACTACTACTATAATCAACAAACCTCATTTCCTTCACTACCACTATTGCCAATCAACAACCTCATTTCCCCTCCACCTCCTCATCGTAAGATCATCGATAATGATAATGAAAATTTTCAGTGCTGATTGACGTCGTTTTGCGCCCATTTGCCAGCATTATAATTCGTTAAGAAAGAATTACTTAGTTCTCTTAACAATCTTTCCTGTTCTGTTCTAACAATATATTCGTTAATTACTACATAAAAATTGATATATTGTTTGGTACGTAAAGCACTGCGTAAATATCTCATACTTGGACAGTCCATCTTTAAATAACTGTTCGCTGCATGAATTAGTTGTAAAATATGGCAACTTCTGGTAGACACCAAACTTTCCCATCTGCGCGTGCCGGTACAAAATTTAATCTACCATAAAAAATCACAGATGCTTAGCAAATAAGAAGTTTTCGAGCTTCCCTAGTCAAACAAAAAATTACATTTGAATACTTTATAAGGAATCAATCGTAGCTAGTGTGTTACTCTTTAAATTTTTTAAGAGCAATGCAGCCTTTTAAATCATCGTTTGCATTTGACATGGGACCAAGGAAATTTTCGAAACATTGCTCTTCTTATTCATAACTATTGATCTTTGAGAAAATTCACATATCATTTTGCTTTTTGTCTGCTTTGCAAAACAGTTCACATTTTATTTCATTCTTTACTGGGACGACTTCTCTTGGAGAACCATTTCCAATAGATGTTGCTTCATTTTTCTTCTAAAATTATTCGATTGAAAGCGCAATCGTCGCATTGATTTTACCCCGGCTAAATTTGTTTTTCAATTTTGTTTTTGTCTTTCACCTGGTTGTCTCTATCTTTGTCTGCTAAATTTACACCTGAAAGACAGAATTTAAAATTTTATCGTCATAGTCCATTCTTACATTAATTTTCCAAAACTGCCAAGATCCGAAGATTGCATTTCCGATGTAAAAACAGTTATGTTAAGCCTACCTTTTCCAACTTAAAATCCAAACTCAATTCAGTATCGCCATTCAATTTGAATAAACCAGGCTGTTACTCTGGAAATACCCGTTTTAACGAAATTTTACTGAGATTTATTTTGTTGGAAATTACAGCATGAACGGTTCTTGCAGTGATTCTTCCAAAATCGATTGCTAGAACTTCACCTGAATCCTTGTTAAATGAGGCGCTAATTCCACAGTCATTTTATATATATCTCATCATCGCAGAATAAAGTTATTTACAATTTGCAAATTCAAAATCAACGCATTCTTTGCCGTTCCTTTTGTTTTTCTTTCATGCAATATCTATTTGTCCGTTTCTCCGTCTGTCCTTAAACATTCACAATATTTTCTTCCTGTTACCTCTCAACACCTTAGCAAGTAAATATTTTCACTTATACTTTTGCAAAGTTTAACACTCAAAAGCAAGAAATAGAATGAATGGAAATCGGAAAAGCAGTCGATTGCCATTTTCTATTGTTGTCATACTTTCCTGAGATGTTTTCAGGAGTTGAAGTAATTCCGAGTGACACTTCCACTTCCATTTTCCTTTAAAATTGCCATTTACTTCATCCTATTTCTTATTTGTTCAGATTAAGTTACTAACACATATTTGCTTTACTATGAAAATGAAACGTAACTGATGAAACGTCTTTCCTTTTACAGCTCAACTAAATGACGACATTTATTATAGTGACACATTGCGCTTCCATAAATGGGTAGTGGATGTATTCTACCTGATCATCTCTTTTGAAACAGCATTGTCTTGATCTTGAAGCTACCGTTTAGTTAGTTTTCACTTTTTCACCCAACAATCTATTAGCATTTCCTACGCCTTTTCATGTCCTTCTTTTATACTTTGCTGATGTTTTAAGACAGACTTGACCAACTTGTCATCATAAATTATGCTTTTATTGCAAAATTTTATCCTCTGTTTTTCCTTTTACTTTTATTTCTAAGATGGAAAGGATCAATCGACTGCCATTATGAAGAACAGATCTATTGTCAGTATATTTTAAATCCCGGAACACTTAACCTATATTTGCTTCCGTAAAAAGACACTTAATGCTCGTAAAGTGTAAATGTTAGGTATCAATAAGAGACAATGCCTCATAATCTTTTGTGGCTGTTGATAAGCTGATAATTGTGATGAAAAGCTTTTGAGTCACCGTATGCGTTGTTTAACACTTAGCTATATTGTCATGCTTCAGAATTTTTCCCGCCAAGTTTTTCTTTTCAATCTTACTGCAAATCAATAAATTACTTTTATCTATCATGACAATATCACATCTACATGTTTGTTTACAGGACATGTCATAATAATGTAATCATGACATCAATTTCAGCGTGAAAATAGCATACCCAATAATTATTCCTTAATTGGAATGCTGAATATCCACAATCCAACCGGCCATTTAAAATAACGATGAGGATATTTTATGCTTCATGATAATTTTTCTCCCCTAAATTTCAAATCTCCGTTATGATAGTATTCAATTAAATTTGATCGGAATTTTAAGAAAACAAATGGCATGAACAGATGCATGGCGCCATTAGCTTACTAATCCATCCCATTTCATTGGTTATATAATTATAGTAAAATTTTCACATAGAGTCATACTAATCACATATTTTCTATCCCCCATTTGGTCCATTAAAATGTCTGGAAGACCAAACAGTTTGCATCAACTTTGAAACAACTAGGAAATCTTCGAAAATCTGAGGTTCCGATAGAATTTTTGCTTTTAAAATTCGCAGTCCCTGTAACTTCTAAAATACTAATTGTTTTTGAACTGATCTGTTTGTATATTATATGCAATGAAATGCACCAAATGATCATCTTTTTTCCAAAATTTACTAAATATCAATGGTACCAAAAATTTTCCAGTAATTGCAGACCCAGAATGACGCACCGATAACAAAAAATGCTTGTCGTGCAAAATGAGAACCATCAATACTCTAATCCTGTCTCAATTTATTTCCATTCTATTCCTGTTTCACGTTAATGAAGGTTTGATCTAACTTCGAAATTTATCACACAGTTTCATACCGCTAAACATCTCAATTTCACTAACTATTTCAGGAATACATAAAACAGATTACAAAATACGTGAAGATTAACTTGAGGGCATTACCTGACATTTAATGAACTTTTCAAATACTTATAAAGTGTATTTTTAAATGATGTTTTCGATACTTTTCATGTTTCATCGAAAATATTTCACCCGAAACCAACTTTTTAGCCCCCTTTTGCTAGATAGTTCATCATGAAGAGAAGCTCTTAAAATCAGCCTTCAATACTAACAAGGGATGACGTAAACTCTTTTAATCAATTTACGGTTTCTTTAAATTTGTATAGATGTATGTGTGTATATGTCTTTTGTGAAAAAAGTAATCACTTTTTTGGATTCCCTGCTAATTCGCATCTTTCTATCTGGGAAGGACCACTTCTTTAATTTATTTTAATAACTGTATTTCATTTGGTAGACAGGCAAGGAAATTAGCAAAATTTTGATTTGACAGGGACCTACAAGGAATTTTTCTCTTCAATTGTTAAATTTCGCAAGATTTCTGCTATTGCAATCCAGGTAATGCTCGGTTGTTGAAAGCAGAAATGAAGAAAATGAAGCCCAAAGTGGTTAACGAAATGCTGATACCAAGGTAATGAACAAATTTTAGATTGTTATATTTCTACAAAAGCATAAAAGTTTCAACAGTCCTTTCTCCCTCAAAAATTCCTAGTGTTTTGATTTTTCCTAAGTATCACGAGCAAAATAGTGACATCATAGTTCCGAACGCTAGTTACCGATGACATTTCAACCATAGAACTGTATAATAATGTTTCCGATACAGATAAACGGACAAATCCAGCAAAAAGAAAAGAAAAATGGATGTTTATGAATCAAAAATATAGGAAAATATATTATAAATTCGGACCGCATAGTTATTTTGATATTCATTCTCCAATATACTTTTGCGAACTGAGTTCGTACTCTGATGGGTTAGAGACTACAAAAAAGGTCGGTCAATGAGAAAACTTGAAATGCTGGAAGGACTTTAAAGACTTTCAGATTTATGTGAAAATAAATTTATCAAATGTTGGTGTCTTTTTGATTGAGAGTGAATAAGTACAGAATCAATAAAATAGAATGACAAAGTGGAGTACATTGCTAACAATGCATGCATGTTTTGATTTGAGGAAAAACAAGTAGAATTGGATTGGGATCCCTTAGAAGTTTTACGAATACTTTGATCAAAGTTAATCAAAGTTTGGTTTTTTGATCTTTTATTGATTTGATTGTATCGTCCAAAAGTTGG